TATATATATATATATATATATTATATATATATAAACTATATATATATATATATATATATATATATATATATATATTATGCAAAGAAATGTAAGTATGTATGTATGTATGTGTATATGTATGTATATATGTATGTATGAATTCATGCATGTATATGATGTATATATGTATGTATGCATGTAGTATGTATGATATATTCATATATGTATGTCGCATCACATCTGACACAGACAATCGCAACTTTTGTACTGTATATATAGCTAGCGAATGCGCCAATTGTAGTATTGGGAGTGTATAGAATGTGAAGGATTCGAACCATGTGCGCAGGTTTTGCGGAAAATAATACAGATATTGGTTTCCGAGAAAAAAAATCACAGCCGAATCTCTAATTAGCTAATACATATGAAATTGCCTTTTCCAGCCCTCGCTTACCATGATTGACGTGAAATCGACAGCATCAGTAGATCTGCAATTGCCCTCCGGAATGGCAAGTTCGGGCGCCGAGCCCTTGCACTTTATCATCTCACTGCTGAGCGAATTTATTGTCAGTTCTGAGGTTGTTCTCCTTGGAATGTCAGACGAAAATAACGACGATGTCCTGACTAATCGCATAATCGGGACTGATTTCGAACTACTGGAATCTGTAATTGGCTCTTCTAAATGGACATGGACTCTCTCCTTTTTCTGATTTAAGGCTTTAAAGCCGGATGAGATTTTATCATGCATTGAATGACGCCTGCCTACCTGTGTATGCACCATATTTGTTGAGCTTAAAGTTTGAGCCAAAACTAACAATGCAAATATAATGTGTTGACGTCTGTTGTATTCGAGACTGCCTTGACATCTCTCTCTAGTGACTCTATTTAGCAGAGTACGAGGGGTCGTCGGCACGTATTGCGCTTGTGAAAGCAGAATAGCACGTTGACTTTGGGTTTTAAATAGGCTATTTATTTATTTATTTATTAAATAATACATCAGCATTGAACTTCATTTTGTTTTTAAAAGACAAAAATTTTGTGATTTGATATTTTTTAATAAAAATAATAGAATTAATCCAAACCGCAAAAGCGAGTATAATTATTATCGGGTCACCAATGAAGGTCCAATATGCCAATTCCAATGATACTATTTTAAGTACCAATGTAATCAGTAATTTGAAATTTCACTGTTTTCAGTGTTTTGTGAACAAATGCAAGAGACAGACTGTAAAACAGAGTAGCTTTGTTGGAGCAATCTGAAGACTGGACTCTACAGAGAGCCAGAGATGAGAGACTAGAGTAGAGAGAGAGAGAGAGTAGAGCGGAGAGACCGAGAGAGTCTCTCATTCTCTCTCTCTACAATTCTACATAGTAGTAGTGAGAGTCTCTCTACTCTCTCTCTCTAGAGAAAGTTTAGATTAGAGAGAGAGAGATAGTCTAGAGTGTGACTCTCTCCCTAGAGTAGTTGTAGACTCTCTACAAGTAGGAGAGTAGAGTCAATAGTGAATTGAGTCTATCTGTGGACTTGAGCACTGTGAGCAGGCCTCAGACCCCCTCGGACCCTCAGTACGTTATTGCTGTACAGAGAATAAAGACATTCCACGTTTATCGCTATAACACTTATTCTGTTCAATCCGTTTTTTTTAAAAGCTGGGTACCCCTTCCTGGTACAAATTTTTTTTGACGCCTTTTGGCTGCTTTTGTATGAAATCCTTCGATTTCGTAGGATTTTCCAGCGGTATGTACAAGTGATATATTTATGTACATAAGGTATACCTCCGGATGACAATCATCAGACACAGAATAGGCCTGAGAGAGTATGTAAAGACCTTGTACAGTATAAAGACGAAAACGCTAAAGCATTTAACGGTGTGAGAACTGCTCACTCTCTCAGAGAGTACATATAAGACTTGAGAGGGGAGAGTATTAATTCACATACTGTAACAAATTTCAGAAAAGCATACATTCCATGGGATTTTTAGAAATATTGTATATTTTAGAGGTCTATGAAATATGTATATCTATTATTAGTATATTTATCACTACAAGCATAGCTATTATAAGTCCCTGAAAACTTTATATACCCAAATAAGGAATAAATTAGAGCCTTTAGGCCCATTTGAGCCAGTACATCAATATAGAAAGGCCGGATACAAGAAACACGGGCTACTAGCAGTGGCACTGTGGCAGAGAGATACATACGGTGCAGGTGAAGTTTGTTATCAAGAATGACGAAATGAGTAAAAACTGAAAAACTACAATGATGCCCATTTGCTTCGAACTGCAATTCGTTCCAAAAAAAATTAAGGCCGGTTTTGCCAACTTATTGAAATTCTGAGAAAAATACACATTTCCAGATTCTGCAGTAGTATTTCGAGAAAAAAAATTATAAATTTTGGATAGACAATTTTTCAGCCGGTCCATGAAATTCTGGCTGAAGTACAGCAAAATTTTCTCAAAATGTCCTTTTGTCGGTTGGCAAATGCACAAAACCGTTGAAATTATGGGCGGTTCAGAGTTCAATATGTTTTTATCGTATCTTCTCATTCATTGGTCGAAAATAACAACGGCTTTCGATTGGCCCACATCATTTTGTTAACAGATGGGTGCGCGGGCTTTTTGTATCCTGTATATTGTACTGTGTCTCATTGTTTGATATATATACGTGTGTACAGTGCCCTACTTCTGTACACACTTGGTGACACATACACGAGTTATACACAGGAAAAATACTGATGAAATGTCCCCGTCATGCAAAATCCCTGCCCCACCACTACCTTTACCACTTAGTCACTTTCCAGACAGTGACGTGTCTGACGCTTATGTCAGCACTCATCATGATTTAACCACACATTGGGAACAAAGACTAATGAAACTGCAAATTTGGTTGCCTCTTTAGACCTAGAGCTTGACACTGTTGATGATATCAAGCCCAACGTCAAACAGGACATTAAACCGGACATCAAGCATGCAAAGAAGAAAGAGAAGTGTAATTGGAATGCCGCAAGATGCGAGGCGCTTATCGTCACTTATCATAGCGCTACTCAAAATCCGAATTATGGTGCAAAGGATAGCTCGAGCAATGTTAAAAATCTGAGGACAGCAGGGTGGAATCATATATCCAGCACACTTCAAGAAGCGTTCGGTGATAGACAATACACGGTTCAAGCTTTAAAAAATCCTATGCAAACAGAGAAGAAACTATTTGTCAAGTATTATACTCATGTTATGTGTAGTCATTTACAGGGACTGAGTGGAATGGGAGAGATACCTTGTCACAACTAGTAAGTATTCGATTTACATTATTAAGTAGTTGCATTATATGTGAATACGCTTCAGGATTGTCTTTCATTAATCCCTTTAGAAATAGGGTTTGAAAGACCTCGGGCTTGGACTTTATGTTATTAAACAGAGTCCTAGCTAGAGACTGACGCTTCTTAGCAGTAGTGTCATTAGTAGATTGTATTTCTTGTGCACAGACTTCAAGTGCTGTGTTACCTTTAAACTGCTTAACGTTCAATTG